TATAAAATGTATGTAAACTATGTCCAGATAAATGCCATTATATACTCACTTTTGTAATTTGCCAATAATTACTAATAAGTTATTTACTGGAATATATATATCCGTATTGAATATCTGTTCAATACAGACAGCATTTATCTTGTCGTAGTAAACCAAATTGTTGCGTAATTTAAATGTAAATTATACGAAATCGCTGAAACATATAATAACAAAAATTGTTTATTAATTTAATATGTTTAATAAATATTTAATTAAAAATTTTTTTAATTTGGATTTTATTTTGAATTAAAAAGTCATTAATAATTTTAAGTATCTTATCATTTAAAATTTTAACGTTAAAATAATTGTCAATTTTTCTTCGTATTTATTAGTATACAAATTTATTAAATAAATGAAGATTGGAGCAAGACGCTTTGACTGAAGCAAGCTCAGAAGTTAAATATTTACTTTTTGCTTGCTTTTCGAGATTTACATTTTTAATATTATAGAATTATAAGTATATTTTATAGTGATCAATTTATTATATGCAAAGGCCTCATCGCTATTCTTTGCGTTAATGTATGCCAGTGATTGCCTGCTTTGTACCGATAGAAAGTCGAAATTATTTTCATTATGGAGAGTTACTCCTCGTCGCTTTTCATAAAGTCCATTCGCAAAGTCTAGTTTGGTGTCCGGAGATTCTTATACAGAATCAGAATTAATCCCGAGTTTTCTCGTCTGCAGTTACTGGAAGTAATAATTTTATCAATGAATCAATGATAATATGCTATATATTTTAAAGCCAAGTTGCGAAATTATAATTCAGTGGTATATTTTAGCATACAATTTTTGTCGCATTTTTTGTTTTATTAAATATTATCCCACTAATAATAATGTTAGTAACAGTCTTAAAAACAAATTATTAAGTAAATAAATTTAATTTTTATACAGACAATTTGCTTATTTTTCTATGATTGCTCTAACAAAAATGTGGTTACGAATGTGTATATTTAATTTTCTAACTGTTATTTTTAAAATCATTTTTAGATATTGGACATCCCGCCATTCCAGAAAATTGTTTATTATTAATTTATATGTATATTTTTTATGATAAAATACATGCATATATTATGAGATTATATTTAACAAATTTTAATATTTGTCGACTTTGATAATTTTTACCAAAGTATTTCATATTCTTTTAATAATATATCGTGATTACATGAATTTAATTAAAAATGTGTGGGTAGAAAAAATTCGAGATAAGTCGAATGGGTACCCTTCTATTAGCGGGATATTAATAATTAAAATTTTTTAAACATACAGAAAAGTAAGGAATCGTTAAATTTTATATAATGAATTTTTCAGTATGAATGTTCTTTAAAATCCCGTTATTATCGGATTCGGCTTATCTCGAACAGTTGGTACCCGAGAAACTTTTGTACCCATACATATAAAAAAGTACAATAACGCATATATTTTATTATTATTAAATATATTCCTTCGTAACCACTATTTCGTAAGGAAATTATTTTATTTTATTCATTTTTAATAAGTGATGATTTTTAGTGATGGGTGGTTGAACATATTTTCCCGCAAATTTTAATATTATATTAAAGAAGTAATAAAAATGGTAATTACAATTGACATGCTACTCAAATTATTACTATCGTAAGTGATCTGGAAGATTCGGGATTTACACCATCCTTTAACAAGACCGTTGGTGTTTGACGAAATGCTTAATTTTTCTTTACAAATGGACATTGTGAATTTGACGTAAAAAGTTTGTTCTCCACTACGAAAATTGCTGTTCTTTATATCGGATGCTAACTATAGCATATCACAGGCGGAGGGACCTTGATTCGTTTACATTATTGGGATAAGTTATCTTGAACGCGATGAAAATGCTGTCATAAATATATTAATGACTTTTTATCATAATATTAATAAGTTTTATATTCGCAAGTTAGTAATTAATAGTAAATACGATCGAATTGTTAGTATTTCTTCCGCGTTTATTAACATTTCATTAAACATTGGTTTAGAAAAATGTGTGTTATCATATGTATTTTCGACGTTTTCGTATACGAGTAATCCTGCATTATTAAAATTTGTTAATTATGCTTCTGTTATATCAAATTTAAATTATATTTTGAACAGCACTTATAATTGTATTATAAATAATAGTTATTATTGTAGTATTGAATTATATAAAGTTACAATAAAGAATTATATTAACCAAATTGTGTAATATGATTGCTAATTATTGTATTGTATTTCGCTATTTATATTGCAATATGATATTAGCAAAATATAATAAAATAATTAGACATAAAAATAAAAAATACATTAAAAATATATTCACCTGTAAAAACGGGCTACTAAATTTATTAGTGGCTCGTTTTTTTTTGCTGGTGAGTATAGTTACCAAGAAAAGAGGACCGCCGATGAAATCGGCGGGGGGGGGGGGGGGG